AATAATTAGAGACAATATAAAACTTACAAAGACTTTAACGAAGCCAAAGATGCTTTCAGAGATGATGTTGACGTTTTTGGCTGTTGAGCAACTTGTGGTACTTGGCATACTTCTATGCTGAAAATAACAGACATCAAAACGCGATCGAACAGGTCGCTCACCCAGGCTAAAATCCAATTTTATTTCAAACAAATTATTTTCCTAAGTGCTTCATCCTTTCAAAAAAGGGCTGATATTTGTGTAAGGCATGTGTGTTAAACTATCAAAAAATGTAAAAGGAAAATTTTTAGACACTTGAAAAATCGGAAGCTGTAAAATAACAAGAACCATTTTGGCATCTTATTTTTAAAATGTTATTGTGATGCTACCACATGCCAGGCACAGCTAAAATGCCAGACTGTTCGATCACCAACTACATATCTCCAGTTACTACCTACCAACTGTTTGGTGTGTATATGCACCATATGTTTGCGCGGATCCCGAATGGTTATTCACTTTCTCACGGCTATCATTTACAACGTAAAAAAGAGGGGAACTATATAAAAGTCTAGACAAAAAATCTCAAAGAATGGCACCTTCGCATGGAATGAATGCTAGGCGTAGACACTTTCTGAGCTTTGATCAGAATTCCTGAATCATTGTCCATGACCGCTCCGTTGACTACTTCACTGAAACGAGTTCATTCGAAAACATGTATAAGAAGCTGGTTCTAATTGATGATTTCATCCTGGATAGAGATGCTAAAGATATTGATTGTAATATATGGGAAAATGTAAAATTTTATTAGAAAAATGGGATGAACAGGAAAGTTTTGGGCCATTAAATCGTATTAGTAGAAAAATGAACGTATATGCAGCGGCTAAACCGAGCCGAGTTTTGGTTGTGCGCGAAATACGCAATTTACTGCACATATTTTCTGCATTTTTAAGTTTGCTCTAAACCATTCTGAATTGGACCTCATTTAATAATCAGCCAATGCAAGGAGGAATTACGTATTTTTACATGTATTTTGAAAACTTCGTCCCTCAGTGGCTCCGAATTCAGTCAATATGAATTGATTCTTTCCTACTTCCGCCAAATTTGGTGCACTAAATTTAGAAAGAAAAATCTACATACCATTGCAAAATGTTATTATTATTGCTAAATTGGTCTTCCGGACTTGTCAGATTCTCTGGAATGGTCACATTCTCCGGAGACGCAAGATTATCGCACACTTGCCAGTGCGGCTGAACAACAGTCGTCATCCTTAAAATTGCTTCGGTTTACGCATCAGTACTTGCAAGCTTTGCATACAGTATGTTAAAATTTTGTGTGCATAGCTGCTTGACCTTTACTGCATTATCACCCCCTGGTCAAGCTGACAATGGTCCATACCGCTCTGTCCATAAGCTGACAATGGTCCATACCGCGCGCGCTTAGATAAACACCACCCACAAGTGTTATATGTATCTTATTTTTAATATTCAAATTCCAGTACTAAATTATCTGAGCAGAGAAGTTGTACCGGAATTCATTATTTTAAGGATTTTGAAAAGCAGCTTTGAGATAGCAAAACGCCCACTGCTACAAACAAAACCTGACCTTGCTTGCTGAAGTTGGCGGAGGTATAGTTGAAGCAACTCATCACCCTGACCCATAGCCAAACGCCGTTCTATCATGCGCTTCCTCCTGAGCAATTGGAATATGTCTGTGCCGCGGAATTTTCGGCCAAAATAGTGGATTTTTTGAATGTACTGTATCCCGACCAGATCGATGCACATTGTTGTGACGGCAAGACCAACACCAAGATAAATCAGCATGAGCAATATATATCTAATTAAAGTGTAAATTATCATTTATGTAAAGGAAGTGAAGGAATATTACGAAAAATGCAATTTGACGGATTGAAACCGAAAAAATTAAGTAAACTGGAAAGCGCTGTTTTGGTCCGAAAAATTAATTATCAATCCAGTTAACCACGAAATTTGTTGCATAAGAAAAATATCAAGACAGCCTGAACGATCAGTACAGGCACTCCATTTTAGTGTTATTGTTAGGAAGCGCCCACACGTCGGGTGAAGCTTTGTCAGGCCTCTCGATTTTAGAGTATATACCGTAGCCAGC